GTGGCTGCGGGGGGAGGCCAGCCTCTCTTCTTTAGTGGGGTGGGGTGAGGCAGGAGCCAATGGCTGGTGAAGCCAGGAAAGGGGACCCTGGGTGGGTCCTAGTCTCCCCAGAAAGAGGGCAGAGAGACTTCCATCAGGTCAGGTGGGATTCCTCTGGGGGGCCCGTGGAGAGTCCCCGGGTAGGGAGATAGCAAATGCTGACTTCCTGTTACACGAGCTGCCAGGGCGAAGTGGTCTTAGTACTCCGGTGCCAGGAAGTGGAGCGAGAACATGTCGGTTTGGTGACAGACTTGTGTCTGCCTGTCGCCGTGAACGTATAAACGAGGGCGCCCAGGAGCTCACAAGGGTGGCCCATCCAGCAGTGGGGTGCTGAGGGGTGCAGGGAGAGCCCCAGAGGCTGGTGGCAGTTATTTGGCCTGTGTGTAGAATTGGCTACCACCCCCAGTTCCTGACTGTGGGGTCAGGCTCCCCTGACAGCTGCCCAGAGAGAGAAGCAGGAGAGGACCCAGGAGGGCAGAGGAGAAAGGGCGGGCAACACAGCAGGGAGCAGAGGGGCCCCCGTTCCAAGCTCAGCCCCTGCTTTGGTCACAGGGTGTTCTTCTCCCCTTTCCACTGGCAGCCCCTGCTTTCTGGAGTCACCTCTGTGTCCCCCTCACCATGGAGAAAGGTGGGGAGCCCTCTGAGTGCACCACACCCCCCTGGACAGCCAGACCCTGGCTGCAGATGCCCAGGCTGGACAGCCAGACACGGGGCTCCTCTAGGCCACAGAGGCCAGGCCAGGAGGAGCAGAGGTCAGAGCTGAAGCCTGTGTCTGCTTTGTGTGTGTGTTTATTTATTTAAATTTTTTAAAAAAATATTTATTTTATTTCATTTGTTATTATTTTTAAATTTGACCAGAGAGAGAGAGAAAGGGAAAGTGAGAGAGCAAGCTGCCAAGTCTGGGACTTGAACCGTGGTCGACCATGTGGGAATCCAGCACCTTTAACCACCACACCACCTACTAGCCCCTGCTTTGTGTGTTTAACTGGTTTACTTCTCATAAGGGATGCTTGAGAAAGAGGGGCGTGGATGAGTGTGTGTGTGTGTGTGTGTGTGTGTGTGTGTGAGACCAGAGACAAGCCCTAGAGAAGTGGGCCACACCAGCCAGATTCTCCTTCCTCCTCCTCCTGGGAGTCCTGCAGGCAGCGCCCCCTTGCTGTTGCCCCCAGGGCAGCGGTGGCAGAGGGAGGGTGAGCCCTACGTCTCAGCACACTGCCCGCTCCCTCTCTCCATGGGCCCTCACTGTCTCCAGCCCAGCAGGGCTGAGCAGGGGCATGGAGGAGATAGAACGTCCTTCTACAATCGCCGACGCTCTTCCACAGAGTCTTCCTGTCCCTGGAAAGCCTGCCCTGGAGCACCGGGACCCAAACAGCAGCAGGACTTAGCTGCCTACAGGGGCGGGGGTCTTTCAGGTCACAACCAGGACAAGTGAAAAATACTTCAACTGGTCTTCACTTGGACTGCAGCCAAAAAAGGATACCTACCCGAGGGATGTGTGGCCAGTCACTCCTGGGAGTCGGCTGCCCCAGGGATGCACTTCCCTAGGCCAAGCTTGGGGCTATACTGCCCCATGAACCTGCCTGCTGGAGGAGTGGCCCTGCCGCCCGCCCTGGGCTGCCCTCAGCCCCCTAGCTGTGGCTTCTGTCGTTGCATCCGAAGGCCCTTAGGAAAGACCTGGAGTGACCAGCAAGGCTGTGTGACACATGCACCCCAGTGCTGCTTAGGGATCCCAGAGGTGGAGGGAGGCGGATGGGAGAGCAGGACATGGCTGGGGGGAGAGGTCTCCCCAGAACCGGCGCTCACCCCTGCCCCATGTTTCCTGCAGGCACATCCTCAGGAGATCTGTGCTCATGTGCGGTGCCTCCGTTATCCCACTGCCTTCCCACAGCCGCCTGGAGTGGGCCGTGCCCCACTCCATGCAGGAAGACTCTGACACCCCGACGTTAAGTGCCTCACTAGGGCCGCACGGTGGCTCAGTGCAGGGCTGCGCCAGGCCCGTCCGACTGCAAATTCAACCTTTGCCACAACCTCACCATCCGGGGAGGCTCTGTGGGACCCAGCGCCTGTGTTATCTTTCTGGTATACAGGGTCAGTCCTAGCTGGCCTCTCCTGAGACCAGCAGTCATGGTCACCCCCATGGTGTGGCCTATCTTTGACAGAGGGAGGAGGCTGGAGCCCCTGACCACCTCAAACCCTACATCGCAGGACACGAGGGCTGGGACATGTCACAGAGAAGGGGCAGAAGGGCCAGTGAGCAAACCGCATGGGCCGTGGTGGGGGTAGGGGAGTGGCACTAAGGAAAAGGTCTGAGAATGTCCCTAGATTTGTGACTCGTCAGGCAGGTTGGAAGTATCTTTCTGACTCCAGACCAGGGCCGGGGAGTGGAGACCAGAGGTGGTCCCCAGCACCTCTGCCCTTTCGCGGCCATCATGGCTTTGGTCTGCCACCTAGTCTTGAGTCATCTCTTCACTCAGTTCTGTGATTGGTCTCCGCCCCACTGCATGGGCTGCAGCTTTGACCACACTGGCAGGGAGAGTCACGGGGGCATGTTCTGAGGCTTGCCTCCCCGCGGACTGCCGGCCCACCACCCAGCTGTGATCTTTTCAGGCACCTCTCCCCAGCTCCTTTCCTCACCTGGGGGTGTGCGATTCTGCCCACGTGGAGCTGCGAGGGCCTTTGTGGAGACAGGCCCATGTGAAAAGGGATTCGACACCGAGGGCTGCTTCCTGTTTAAGGAGCTCCTGAGAGCTCTTTGCAGAAGTGCAGCCGCCCACCCGCCCAGCAGGCCTCTGCAGCACACTCGGAAGCACTGGGCCCAGAGCCCTCCCCCAGCTTGGCTGCCCCGTGCCCTGCACACAGCACCCACACAGGTCCACATGCAGCCTGCTGTCCTTGCCCTGGCTCTGCACGTGTGCGTGTGCATGAGTGTGTCTGTATGTGCGTGTGTGCTTGTGCCTGCGTGGATGTGCCCAACCAAAAGCGAAGGACCTCCCCTTACCATCTTCATCATGTCTGGAAGGTTCTAAACAGGCCCACGTTCATACCCAGGGATTTGGGTTTTTTGTTTCCTCAGTGGTTTCTGAAAACGTATTGCTTTTAAGACATCATAGCTTTCTGTTCAGTGTATTCTGAGTCTCAAACCAGCAGCTTGGAGAAGGGGTGATGGGAAGTGGTAAAGCAAGGTCCGGGGGCACATGGGGAGAGTGGGGGCCAGGCAGAGGGCAGCTCTGTGGGCAGCTCCCACCCACAGGGCAAAAGGCAGAAAACTTCCCCATCCTGCAACCGACACTGCTGATCTCGGTCTCTGGGAGGGCTGTGGGCAGCGCCTGAGCCTGTCTGGGTGGGAGGAGGCTTCAAAGGGGAGCAGGGAAGAGAAGGAGCCCATTCCTGACTCACTCCCCTCCAGTTTGGAGATGGCGGGAGCTCAGGGCGCAGGGACTGGGAGTGTGTCCCAGCAGGTGACTAGCAATCAGCAGACCAGGGCCAGTGGGTCAGCCGTGGGTGCTCAGCCCTGTACTGTCCATGCCCCTGTTGCCTCTACCAATGTCTAGGTGGTCCCTGCCTGCCTGCATGGTGGGACCCACTCTCTCAGGCTCTTTGGGCTGGGGCTCAGGTGTGGCTCCAGCCTGGCGCAGAGGCTCAGCAGCCCCAGCCTTCTCCTCCCTCAGGGAATTCCCTGGAGCACTGGCCTGACCTTTGTACTCAGGAAGATTTCTTTTCTGGAAATACACTTAAGGGCAGGTCCAGCCTCTAGGCTGCCTCAGAGTGGGGGCCATGGTGGGGTTGGGGAGGCAGGATGAGTTCTCCAAACAAGTAGGTGCTACCTGTTGAAGCCCCCTCTGCAGGAAAGGGGCCCAGCTGGGGTCCTGGATGGACCCTGCCTTCAGCCCCCTTTCCCACACTCACCACAGCAGAATGGGCAGGACCAGGTACCCAGCTGCCCTGCCTCCCTCTTCCTTTTTCTCCTTTTTTAAGAGATTTTTGCTGTAGGGCACATGCACTCACTGGAAAGAGACAGAAAGCGAGGAATCACCCCTGGAGGCTAGCCATGCCGCAGTCCCTTCTCCTCCACTGTCCTTTCCTGATTTAGAGCACACACGCACATGCGCCCAGTGAGAGTTTCAAGCTGCCAGGTCTGAGACTCGAATGGCGGTGAGCCATGGGGTCGTCCAGCGCCTTAGCCACTATGCCACCTGCTGGCTCCTCCCTCTTCCTCCTGCTTGCCCTGGGGTGATCTCCCTGGGATGAGCTCCTGGGGCTTCGTTAGGCCTTCTGGGGGTCTTGGCATAAAAGTGTTCCAATCCAGTAAAGCCTCCCAGTTTTCCTTGGGTCAGAAGTGTCAGCCCTCCTGGACGAGTGGCCTTGACTCGGGGAGGCCAGGCTGTGTGGCCCCCAGGCAGGGCCTACATAGAGCCTGGGGACTGCGGCTGAGCTATGCTCCAGCCCACAGCCCTCATGGCCACCTCTCTCACCCAGGACCTACCTGGAGGAGGAGCTCACCAAGGCCCGGAAGAAGCCCAGCCTGCGGAAGGACATGTACCAGAAGATGATCGAGGTGGACCCCGAGGCCCCGACCGAGGAGGAGAAGGCACAGCGGGCTGTGACCAAGCCACGGTACATGCAGTGGAGGGAAACCATCAGCTCCACAGCCACCCTCGGCTTCAGGATTGAGGGCATCAAGGTGAGCCCCGCAGGGTGACCCAAGGCTGCCTAAGCCAGCCCGCTCTCAGGTGGCAGTGTGATAGGGGCCCCGGGGTCCTGACTGCTCTCAGTCCCTTCATAGGCTTGTAATGTCCTCCTGGCATAGTCCCAGGGCTGAGCGGCCGCCTGGGGACAGACATTTGGAAATACTGGCCTATTCCTCAGCCAGAGATGGCCATGTAGGGGACATGGGCCTTGGAGCAGAGGAGGCTGGCAGCCTGGCCCAGCTGGCAGCTGTCTACTGAGGACCAGTTATCCCAGCCGGTGTCGGACACTGAGAAGCCCAGACCGGAGCGAGCCTGCAGGCTGTCGGCGGGGAACGGGCCACTGTCCCGGGCCGCACACCAGGGCCGGCCGGGAGATGCAGGCAGTGGAGAGCACCTGCTGGCTGCCTCTGATGTCAGGGCCATCGCCCGCAGGACTGCCTCTCTCCTTACTCTGAGATCTCTGAGAAGGGTCTGAGAATGCTGTCCCTGACCACGGGCTCTGCACGTGCCCCTGACTGTGAGATTTGCCTGATGAGAGCCCCCCAGCCCCCCATGAGGTCTCAGGCAGCCATCGCTTCAGAGCAGAAGGTGCTCCTTGCAGGGTCCTCGGGCTTCCTGTCCTCTGTCCAGCCATGACTCGCAGTCTCCAGGCCAGCCCTGGAGCTGGGGTGGCGTGGTCCGGAGCCCTGACTCACCAGCGTGCTAGAGTGAGGGAAGTGCCATGCCAGCCTCCTTCCTGATGGCATGTAGATGTGAGTCCTGCAGTCGTCTTCGTTGCACTGCCCACGGTGGCATGCAGGGCAAGGTCCTCACCCTTCCCCAGGACAGCGCTGTGGGAGCTCCGGGCCGGCCGAGAGCCACCGGCCCCTTCCCTGTCTTCTAAAGCCAACCTTTCCCTCTCCTTGCCCCCCAGCTCTCAGATGGTGTGCAAATTTCACATTCCTCCTCCTCCTAACGCTCATTCTCCTTTTTCTGTCTGATGGAAACACCCACTTTCTCTCCACCTCTCCCTCTCAAGCAGGCTGTGCTCCTGGGCTCTGTTCACTTTCAGATAGAGGAATGGCTCTGCTCAGAGAGAAGCTGTCTTCACCACTTCCTTCCCCCACCCTAGCCCTCTTCCCAGAGAGGCCATGTGAAGAGGCCCACCAGCTCTGGGGCTCCAGGCTCTGACTCCCTACGCAGTGGCTGCTCCCTGCCCCAGGGTCCTGCCTGGTGTCTGAGGCAGCCGCGCTCGACCATAGCTTTACTCTCTACACTGGTGCCGGCGCTCCTAGTGAAACTAGTCTCCTTACCCTCTGGCCCTAAAGAGCAGATTTCCTCATGGGTGAGCAAAGCCCTCCACCCCAGCTGGCCTGGAACAGTCTGGATAGACAGTGCCCAGACCAAGACAATGGAGCAGGGTGAGCCAGAGAGCAGTATTCGATCCTGGCTTTCAGGGAACCTGTCATACGAGACCTCAGATTATAAAGGAAGTCCAGCTGAACTTGGGGGAGGGAGCCCTTCTCTCCTGTTCCCATTGAGGTACCTCTGGAAAGCAGAGACCTTTGCTGCTGCTGCAGCTTCCTGGCCCACGCTTCCATTCTTGGTGCAAAGGCCCTTCACACCTCCAGGCCTTTCCTGACGTTGCCGCGCCCTGCGCTGTGCCGTGCAGTTAACCATCCTGCTCCTGGATGTATCTGCCCCCTGGTCCCTCACGAGGGCACCTGGCCAGCCCCACTGAGCACACAGGCAGCCTGTGGCCATCTGGGGGTGAGCCAGCTCCTGCCTGCACTGACTCCTGCTTGGGTGGGTGTGGTTCTTCTCAGAAAGAAGATGGCTCCGTGAACCGAGACTTCAAGAAGACCAAGACAAGGGAGCAGGTCACGGAGGCCTTCAGAGAATTCACGAAAGGAAACCATAACATCCTGGTGAGTCAGGTGCTCCTGAAAAGGCGCTTGGACTGGCCAGGCAGGGACGGCCGTGCTTGCTCTGGAGAGTCTTGCCAGAGCAGCAGCGACCACGACTGCAGAGAAAACTCCAGCCCCAAACTTGCGCTTGGGAGGTAAAGAGGGCGTGATGAGTTGTCCCCAGCAGTTGGTGGGTAGACAGGATGCTTGGTGAACAACCGCCCTCCCGTGGCCATCAGCCTCACAGCCTCGGCATTGCCATCCCCAAGGGGAGTGGGATTTGCTGGAGGTTAGCAACCACTCTGGGCTAGACGTTCTGCTCAGTGCCCATCAGCCCCTGAGAGCAGCCCCGTGGTGTGGGTGGACAGTCTTGCGCTCATTTTACAGATGAGGAAACCGAGAGGCGAAGGGTGTAGGAGAGGGCAAAGCAGGGGTTCGCACCCCAGTCTGCCTGACGCAGGGCCAGATGGCTGCGGGGGCCCTGGCCGGGGCCAGGAGCTTTCGGTCACTGCACTTTCTGATGCTACCGGGCCTGGCCAGACCTCTACCCAGGCTATGAGGCTGAATGAGGAAAGTGTCCCCGGGGTCCCAGTGCCCTCCCAGCACGTACTAGCTGGCTGTCACTGAGCTGGGTGTGGGCAGTAGAAGTTCGTGACAAAGTGGAAGCAGCGGCCAGCAGGCTGGGACAGATGTCCTGCCCGCTGGATCAGAGCCCTGACCCTGCCAGCTGAGTTAGGGTGTGTTGTCCCACCACACCCCTAGTGCAAAGTGCCCTGTGGCACCCAGAGATTCAGGTGCACCCAGTATATGTGGCCTAGAGTCCCCAGGAGAGACACTTTCTGAACATGCCCCAGGGCTGCAGAGCAGGACAGTGAGCTGGACAGCGTTTTCTCCAAGGGCACTCAAGACCAGCCAGAACTGGGGGAGCTCTCTCCCTGTTCCAGCTGAGGAGGCTTCCCTGGGTCTCAGACAAGCTCCGCAGGCAGGGGGCATGCATCCGACTTGGTCATGGCTCAGGCTGTCTGGTTCCTGACAGCTGCCTGGGAGGCGTTCGGCCCTCAGCCATGCCTGCCACAGAGCGCACCGCTGAGACCGCTGAGGGGGTTATTCCTGGCATGGTCGCTCCAGAAGCTGCCTGGGCTGCCCTGCCGGGCTGTGTCACTGCTGTTCAGATGGGCAGTGAGGAGCCTGGTGGTGACACCCACAGAGGTGGCCCCTAAGAAGGATGGGGCACCCTGGGCGAGCATGGCTTCACCGAAGTTTCCAGGGCTCTGTGAAAGACCACGGGCGGAGACACTAACTCTGTCCTCCAAGGTCAGGGCACTGAAGTCTGTTCAGAAGACGCCATGGCAGCCGGCTCTTGTAAAGCTGGATAAACTAAACCCTTCTGGGAGCAGCCCCGAGAGGGCTGCATGTCACTCAGGACTGTCCCTGGCCACCTCTCCTGCTCACAGACAGTGGAGTGGAGACAGTGGGACCCGGAGTTGTACCCCGCTGTGTCGCTCCATGTTTGTCCTTGTAGATGAGGCTGGGTCAGCGATGGGGGTGTACGGCCCATCCACTTGGATTCCATGACTCCCATGAGGTCAGTGGGACTGACAATCTCTACCCCCCGGGGGTTTAACATTGGTTATGTTTCTTCTCCCAGGTCGCCTACCGGGACCGACTGAAGGCCATCCGAGCCACCCTAGAAGTTTCTCCCTTCTTCAAGTGCCATGAGGTAGAGATAGGACTTGTGCCCCTCAGACCAGTGGTCCTGGGGTACCTGGTGGGGTGTGTCTCTAGGCAGTGCCTTTGTGCAGATGATGCCCCTGCCCTCCCCAGGCCGACAGCGGGCCTCGCCCATGGATTCCATCCCCTCCTTGGCCTCGCTGAAGCCCCAGTGCCCCCGGACCCCAGCCCCTCCTAGGGCAGCTTGGCAAAAGGTCTTCATGCAGCAAGCCAGAGCCTCCCTTTGCTCAGGCCCACCTCCCCCTCCTGGAGGACAGGACACTGCCAGGCTGCCTGGCCCCAGGGCCGAGCCGAGGACTCTGTCCACAAGACCAGCCTTGGCTTCCCTGTGGCTGGGTGGTGGGATCTCGCTGCGTCCTTCTCCTGCCGCCTCAGGATTTGTCTCAGAGCTTCCCCTCCCTTCTTCAGCACTTCGTGTTTCATTTTTTGTTTTGCCATAGAGTGCGTGCTCTCTCTGGAGAGACAGAGAGGGAAAAGTGAGAAATCACCCCCCACACATACCCCTGGGAGGATGGCCATGCCACAATACCTTCTCCTCCATTCTCCTCCCAGGACTTCGGGCTTGTGCATGATATCAAGCTGCCAGGTCTGGGACTCAAACCGGAGTCAGCCATGTGAGAGTCCAGCACCTTAACCACTATGCCACCTGTTGACCCTAGCATCTTTGCTTTTATTTATTGGGAAACTTTTCGCTATACTCTTTCTGGAGTCTCCCTTGGAAACAGGTCAAATCCGCTGGAGCTTGTTTGCATCCACCTGGGAAGAGTGGGCCCTTCTCCACCTCCATATCTCCGTTTCCATGCCCCACGTTCCTGCCCTGCCTGGGCTCTGGGAGCTGTAATGTCACCTCTACCCCTCCACACTCCCGTGCCTCTGGTGGCCAAGGGGACATCTGGCAGCTGTGGCCATATTTGGGGAAGGGCCTTACTCCCATGCAGATGTTCTGACCTTGCCCCGGAGGGGAGGGCTGCTGCCTGCTGTCCCTGGGGGAACTAGGGCTTGGCCCAGGCCAGGTAGCCCCTGTCTACCCCGGCTCTGCAAGGGGGTGTGCAGGTGGGCTGGGGGTGCTGGGTGCACCCAGATAGCCCCCACAGACACAGACTTTCCCCTCCCTTGCACCAGAGCAGTCGCTCTGGGAGTCTGGGAAGAATCAAGGTCTAGGAGGGGAAAGGACGAGGCCCCAGGGTTCTGTTATGGTCTAGAACTAGTGGAGAGTGTGCAGGCCAGAGCTGGGGGGTAAAGGGGTGACTGTCATCCCAGACGCTGCCACCGCCTGCACACAGGGTGGCCGCGTTTCCAGAATGCGAAATTCTCTGTCTGCAGCCTGGGCACTATTGGATCAGCTTGGCTGCCCAGATGAGAATGGAATTGTGGCTCACGCCTCTCCTTGCCATGCAGGCCGCCAGCCTTTCCAGGTCCCCTCTGTGGTTGGTCACTCCAGCTACCCCCTCCTCCTTTTTCTGCCCCACTCCAGGTCATCGGCAGCTCCCTCCTCTTCATCCACGACAAGAAGGAGCAGGCCAAGGTGTGGATGATCGACTTTGGGAAGACCACGCCCTTGCCCGAGGGCCAGACCCTGCAGCACGACATCCCCTGGCAGGAAGGGAACCGGGAGGACGGCTACCTCTCCGGGCTGAACAACCTCATCGACATCCTGACGGAAATGTCCCAGGATGCCCCGCACGACTGAGGCTGCCCCTGCCACCTGGCTTCTCTTCCTCCCCCTTTGCTTCCCTTCTTTTAATTTCTCTTTCACTTCTCCCTGGGCTCCATCCCCAGAACTGACCCTCCTGAACTGCACTACAGAACACTTTGTAGAAGAGGAGATGGCATTTTCTAGTTGTTTCCCTAACTTGGGCGCTTGGAAGTGGCGTTTCCACTTCACTTTGTTAATAGAATCACCTGCTAGGAGAGGGGCCCCATCCTGGGCTCCACTTCCTGTAGAGGTCAATTGGGTTCAGAACTGGAGGGGAACCTAACATTTGAGCACTGCTTCTAGGAGACCCCCTAGAAAGCGCAAGCGTGGAAAGGCTACCTGTGGAGGCCTACTGCCCCCTGGTGGCTGCTGCCATCAGTGCTGCTACCCAGCACAGCCAGATAACTGCCCCATCTTCCCACCAGAGAGCCTGAGCAGCCCCAGTGCCCCCGGACCCCAGCCCCTCCTAGGGCAGCTTGGCAAAAGGTCTTCATGCAGCAAGCCAGAGCCTCCCTTTGCTCAGGCCCACCTCCCCCTCCTGGAGGACAGGACACTGCCAGGCTGCCTGGCCCCAGGGCCGAGCCGAGGACTCTGTCCACAAGACCAGCCTTGGCTTCCCTGTGGCTGGGTGGGGGGATCTCGCTGCGTCCTTCTCCTGCCGCCTCAGGATTTGTCTCAGAGCTTCCCCTCCCTTCTTCAGCACTTCGTGTTTCATTTTTTGTTTTGCCATAGAGTGCGTGCTCTCTCTGGAGAGACAGAGAGGGAAAAGTGAGAAATCACCCCCCACACATACCCCTGGGAGGATGGCCATGCCACAATACCTTCTCCTCCATTCTCCTCCCAGGACTTCGGGCTTGTGCATGATATCAAGCTGCCAGGTCTGGGACTCAAACCGGAGTCAGCCATGTGAGAGTCCAGCACCTTAACCACTATGCCACCTGTTGACCCTAGCATCTTTGCTTTTATTTATTGGGAAACTTTTCGCTATACTCTTTCTGGAGTCTCCCTTGGAAACAGGTCAAATCCGCTGGAGCTTGTTTGCATCCACCTGGGAAGAGTGGGCCCTTCTCCACCTCCATATCTCCGTTTCCATGCCCCACGTTCCTGCCCTGCCTGGGCTCTGGGAGCTGTAATGTCACCTCTACCCCTCCACACTCCCGTGCCTCTGGTGGCCAAGGGGACATCTGGCAGCTGTGGCCATATTTGGGGAAGGGCCTTACTCCCATGCAGATGTTCTGACCTTGCCCCGGAGGGGAGGGCTGCTGCCTGCTGTCCCTGGGGGAACTAGGGCTTGGCCCAGGCCAGGTAGCCCCTGTCTACCCCGGCTCTGCAAGGGGGTGTGCAGGTGGGCTGGGGGTGCTGGGTGCACCCAGATAGCCCCCACAGACACAGACTTTCCCCTCCCTTGCACCAGAGCAGTCGCTCTGGGAGTCTGGGAAGAATCAAGGTCTAGGAGGGGAAAGGACGAGGCCCCAGGGTTCTGTTATGGTCTAGAACTAGTGGAGAGTGTGCAGGCCAGAGCTGGGGGGTAAAGGGGTGACTGTCATCCCAGACGCTGCCACCGCCTGCACACAGGGTGGCCGCGTTTCCAGAATGCGAAATTCTCTGTCTGCAGCCTGGGCACTATTGGATCAGCTTGGCTGCCCAGATGAGAATGGAATTGTGGCTCACGCCTCTCCTTGCCATGCAGGCCGCCAGCCTTTCCAGGTCCCCTCTGTGGTTGGTCACTCCAGCTACCCCCTCCTCCTTTTTCTGCCCCACTCCAGGTCATCGGCAGCTCCCTCCTCTTCATCCACGACAAGAAGGAGCAGGCCAAGGTGTGGATGATCGACTTTGGGAAGACCACGCCCTTGCCCGAGGGCCAGACCCTGCAGCACGACATCCCCTGGCAGGAAGGGAACCGGGAGGACGGCTACCTCTCCGGGCTGAACAACCTCATCGACATCCTGACGGAAATGTCCCAGGATGCCCCGCACGACTGAGGCTGCCCCTGCCACCTGGCTTCTCTTCCTCCCCCTTTGCTTCCCTTCTTTTAATTTCTCTTTCACTTCTCCCTGGGCTCCATCCCCAGAACTGACCCTCCTGAACTGCACTACAGAACACTTTGTAGAAGAGGAGATGGCATTTTCTAGTTGTTTCCCTAACTTGGGCGCTTGGAAGTGGCGTTTCCACTTCACTTTGTTAATAGAATCACCTGCTAGGAGAGGGGCCCCATCCTGGGCTCCACTTCCTGTAGAGGTCAATTGGGTTCAGAACTGGAGGGGAACCTAACATTTGAGCACTGCTTCTAGGAGACCCCCTAGAAAGCGCAAGCGTGGAAAGGCTACCTGTGGAGGCCTACTGCCCCCTGGTGGCTGCTGCCATCAGTGCTGCTACCCAGCACAGCCAGATAACTGCCCCATCTTCCCACCAGAGAGCCTGAGCAGCCAGGTGGGGACCTGTAAGAGCCCTGTATTTGAGCAGGTGCCTGGTGGGCTGCACTTTCTGATAGTTGGGGCACAAATCCATGGGGGAACTGCATGTTGGTCATGAGCAAAGTACCTCTGCTTAAGTGGCCCAGGGGCTCCCAGAGATGACATGGTGATCTTTCTAGGGTTACTACTGCAGGGACCTGCCCCACCCACCTGGGATTGAATCCTTTAGGTTTGGGCAATACCCAGGAGCCAGGAGAAGGCTGGAGCCAACTTGTCTGTGTTGCTGACCTCGGCCTCCCCAGAAGGGGGCAGGCAGAGCTGTGTTCTCCCTCCTGGAACCGCTGCCTGTGAGCCCTGCAAAGCTGAACTTCCAGCCATGCCACCCCGACTTCCCAGAACCACTTGATCACTGCTCCCTCGGGAGCCTCCCACTCCCAGCCCTGTGGTGGCAAGGTTTAGGGCACTGGCGGGGAGGGGGTCCAAGGCATGGGTGGCACCCAGGGGGAGATGGAGCTCTGGAGAGCCAGGCCTGCCCCCCCATCTCCCTGGTGCTAGTTGGTCACTCCCACCTATATGCACGAGGTTCTTTCCTGAGCCCGGGTTCAGGCCAGTGCCAGCAGGAAGAAGTAAGATTCTGGCTTAACTGGCACCATTTTTAATTGTTTCCGAAGTCTTACTGCCAGAAGGGCTCGGGCCTGTGTCTCTTCGGTGCAATGTGGGTGGCTCCTGGGGTGTGTCTTGGTGCTGGGGCTGCCCCAGGCATCTCTTCCTGGAGTCTCTGTTTTGCTTGAAGATTTGTGGGGCGCCACTTTTAAGTCTTACTTTAACTGTAAAGCAATTAAGTCTACTATCATTCGAGAAGGATGAAACTTTCCGCTTGATTTTTTAAAGAACAAAACTCCCTGCTCTATTGCCATTTGGACCTGTGCCCCCAGGCCACTCAGGACTCAGGGGATGCACCACCCACTCCTTTGAGCTCAGAGATGCAGGAGTGCAGAGGGTCCAGGAGGGGCTGCCTGGGGGGACACAAAGGGATTGTGGACCGAGGTGTGTGCATCTGGAGGAGGCCATGACAGAGCCCCAGGGTCTCAGGGACTGGCAGCCTGTCCACGTGACATCCGTGTTTCCCCTTTCCTGCTGGGTGAGTGACAGTTGGTGGGGGCGGAGGGTGGGACCCACGAGGATGTATAAGTACAAATTTTAAAAAAGGAAATCACTTAAACTTCCTGGCTCTTGTTCAAAACAGTGGTAAGCTCCTGTGTGGGCCGACTTGCTAAAGGTCACACCCCCGCCACGGCTGAGCATGAGAGCCCTCGTGACAGCACGTGATCTGGAAGGCAGGCAGGATGGGGGCCTCGGGGAGCCAAAGCCAGTTCTGGGCCTCTGGAGCCGCATCACTTATGGGTGAGAAGGGGCCCCGTTGGTCTGCTTGAGCGCTCTGTGGGAAAGGGACATCATTAATTCTGACCTAAAGATTCTACAACTGTGGACTGGCCAACAGTTAACCCTTACTCTGTCTTATGAAAAACGTTTGCTAAAGCGAACTAATAGCATGAACAGAAAATGATCAGGGGGAACAGCTGTACCTATTTAAGAGAGCCAAACTCTCCATGCACTTTAAGCAGGCACCCGTTGTTGGCAAATAACATGCTAAAGTGCAAATGACCGTTTATTAAGGGAGGCCCAGAGAGCCTCTTATTGGCAATACTTCGCTTTGGTTACATGATTCGTGCAAGGCGGGAAGTGGCACCCTTAGAAGACTATTCTGTTACCTAGGCTTTCGCTTCGTTTTTTTGTATTCACCATGCTAGTCTCACACCCACGCTGCCTTGCAGGCCTTCTCCCACCCTCTTGCCCTGCTTCCCCTGGGATAGAATTTCCCAGAACACCCACCCTGGTGGTCTGAAAGATCATGCCCCCCCCGCCCCAGCTCTAGCTGTCCCGGAGCCAGGAGGTGGGACAAGCTGTGCCTACCTGTGCACAGGCAAGTGGGCGCTGGGCCTCCTGCTCGGTCCTGGTGGAGCCCCCCGGGTGCCTGGCGCTCAGCCCTGCTTAGCGTTCAAGGACGTTTCCTCAACTGCTTTTCCCAAACTTGCCTTTAGTGTCATGTAAGTTTTTAAGTTATATTTATTTTGTTGGTTTTTTAAAAATTGCACAAAACACTAAGACTGAAAGGCTAGACTCTCCTTAAAGCTCTGTCTTCTTTCCGGCCTTTCCCACGTGATGGGGAGCACCTGGAAGCAGCCCTGGTCCCCTGAGAGGGACTCTTTTCCTCCTCTGTGTTTAGCTTCGAGTTTCTCTGCATCCACTCAAACCCATGTGTATAGAACTGGCCCCTTGCGCTAGGGTGTTCACCCCATTAGTGCCTTTTCTTCTGGAGGAGAGGACCCACTCCCACCCTCACCCCCAAAGAGGCTCTCCTCTTCTCCACTCTCTCCCCATGGACCTTGGAGAAAACTGAACTGTTACACCCCTGCACCGACAGACTGCAGACCCCTACCTTCCTGAATAAAGGCCTTAGAGACCAGTGCTGGCTGCAGTGTGATCTTTCCGACCCCAAGTCCTGGCATCTGCTCAGCAGTCTTTGGAAGCTGAGGATCTGCATGAGGCGTCTGTGACCTCAGAGAATGGGTGTTAACTGGGTAACATTTTAATCTGCAAGGAATTTAAACAATCTTCAAAATAGCATCTTTCCTACCTTTTTCACCAAAACTGGTCTTGCCCGCAGGGACACAGGATAGCAACAAAGAAGTGTCCATCTTCACCGCCACACCCCCATGCCAGCAGAGGGGCCTCAGGAGTAGCTATATTGCTTTTGGGTCTTTACTCAGTACTCTCCAAGGGCCAAACATGGGGTGTTACGGGGGTGGAAACAGGCTGATGGCGTGGTGAAGACTCCGCGTGGCCGACTATGCAGTTGGAGTCTCAGATCTGGAGGCCTGGAAAACACCAGGTACATGCGTGCGTGCCAAAATCCTGAGAGGAGAATGGGTGAAGAGGGACTGTGGTGTGGTCT